TATGTCTTGGGCTACTCAAATATTTTACGTTTTTGATACTAAATTAACATCTGAAGTATAATTTTTTATTATTTTTATATTTTTCAATATATTTATTTTGTTTGTACAAAATAAAAAAATAATTTTTAAAGATACAATAGTCTTTGTTAGGCTTAACATCGATGAAAATTCAACGCGAAGCGACACGCAACGGAAAAAAATTTTGACATTGGATACGTTAAACTATTTTTTCATACGTAAATCAGTTATCTGAAATATCAGTTATCTGGACAACCCCAGTCCCCAATTGATTCAGAAAATTGACGCTCTACTGTATATATATATATATATTTTTAACTGCTTAATTAAATCTGTACAAATAAAATACAAATTCTTTTACTTACAATTTCTTACAATTTTAATAAATACTATAAATTTCACTTTTGACTTAAAATTACTAAATAAAAGATTTGCCATAAAAATACCTTTAATAACTGAATTGATGAAAAATCTTCTACTGCTTTTCCTTTATCAAAAACACTGTATGCTCCATCTCTAATGGCAATTAACCCTTCACTCCGACACTGTACATCAAGACAATATCTGAGAGTAAGTTAAGCAAACTATAACCTAACTAACATTTGAAACCCAAGTAATTTAATAAACTTGAAATGCATCTGTAAAGAATATAAATTAATAAAGGTTTAAGTTTTCAAATTTGTACATCTGTTGTAGTGAGCAATTTGGAATAACAGGAAGTATNTAATGATTTCTCATGTTTTTTAAATAATTCTTTATAGAAAGTACATGCAAATTTGTTTAAATTCAACAGTAATATCTAATGAAAGTTTAAGTTAATTTAAAACAATTTAGTTATAAACAAAATAGACTGCCTTTTTTTATATATTTTATGATGTATTCTAAATGTACACTTGAAAATTATGAAGTTTTTGTTTTATTTAATCTTATTTTTTAATTCTTATGCTCCAAGTACTAACAAAAACAAAAATTTCTAATACATTTTAATGATGATTTCCTCAATTATTTTATTTTTAAAATTTATACAGCTTTCATAATTACATATCAAAAAGAATTACAGTAAATACTGTGTGAACAGATAATGATAACCTATACAATGTTAGTTATCGTCTCTTTAACAATACTAGACTATAACAAGTATATTATCTTCTAATAAAATGACTGTCGACTTCGAGTTATAATGAGAAGAGTTGACAATTCTGACGGAAGAGATGTATTCTAGCATATTTCCTGCAATGGTCACACGACATCACATTAGCAAATTTGATATCTAGTAATATCAGATGTAGAATATTATTAACGAATCTGATATAGTACGTCTAAAGCAAAATTTTTAGTGTTTTAAACCGAGTAATCAATTAATTATTACATAAATATCCCATTAATTTTATTTATTTTCCATTAATAAATATTAATCTGTATATTCTGCTAATTTATTTTTATATAAGTTGGCAGTGGAAGAGAAATTTATCAAGCGCATGAAAGTATGAAAAAATAGATAAGAAGGAGAGTGTCTTGAAAATTGGCTTTAAAATACCACTTAAAATAGAAAGGATCAACTAAAATCTTCAAAATGAAAAAAAAACTCAGGAAAATTATATAAGACGATAACACAATGATAAGACTTGCTTATGTCAATCATGTGTAAATTTATTACATCTTCAGCTTTTCTGCAACATTATCTGCTTTGATATACATAAAGATTCTTATTTACAGATTTTATAAATACAATTGTTTATATATGAATTAATTATATAGACACATAATTGACAGAACAATAAAGCAAGTCATTACTTAACATTACTACAAAATTATGTTGTCAAAGAAAGATAAAGTATATTTACAAACATTTACAATTTTTGTTGATGAATTTTCTTTATAAACAGTAAAATTGATTCTATGAGGTGGAAAATAAATGCTGGAGGTTACAAATATGATCCAATTACAACAATACTGACCAAACTATGTCTTGTTTATATTACTAAGCCTATAATAAAATTAATTTTGTTATATGTTGTTTTTGCTCAACATCACAGTTTCCAAGAACCTATCAACAATGTTAAGTGAAGACTTGCTGTGTGAGAGTGTGTATACACTTACTACCTGTTTAAAATTGGCTAATTTGCAATACAGAACAGAAGGGTAAGTTCTTTGTAATATATATGTTATCTTAACAATTTAATGTTATGTAATAACCATGTACATTTTAAAAAATAGTTGACTGAGGAGGGGCATTGTGGGCCCGAAATGCATATCAACTAAAAAGAATAAATCAAGGATAAAAAAGCTGCCCGGTGTCTGATTGAATGCACTTTATTTTGCTTGTGAAACAAAGTAAATATATTTTTTAAAGAAAAGTTTACAAGATTTAAGTTAACAAGCTTTCCCCAATTTTAAAATTATTAATTATTTTGTTAAGTTCTTGTCAAAGCTCTGAATTTTATTTATAAAATTATCTTCACTTTTAAGACAATTTTTATTTTTAGGCAGTTTCATTCACTATTACTATAAATAAAAGAATGAAGATTATTAAAGAATATCACATACTGAAATTTAAAATTTAGCAATTAAGTAGCAGAACTGAACTCATTACAAAAATGTAAAACACAAAAAACAAGATTCATCATGTTTATGACAGCTGACCAATCCAATTACAACCTTTTACAAATTAATTCATATATCATTCATCATTAAAAGCAATCATGCCAGAGATTTTGTATTCTGCAAACTGTTGGTATTGTTTCAAATTTTATTGTAAATTGAGTGAAAGTGCAACTGGCAGTCATTTTGTAATGTTATTTATGGAGAGAATGCTTCCATTACAATAATGATTACTAACTATTGGCTTTATTCCATGTTGTAAATTATTATTCTAATATAAAAATCTAATTTCTCATCAAGTGTAAGATTGAATTTTAGGTTGCATTCCAAATATATATATTATAAACACAATTCCTCTGTAACATTTTCACTGTTATGAGAACATTAGTATAATATTACTAATGTCTGAAAAAACTTCACTTAATTAATGTAGAATTAAAAATTGCAATACCAAAGTTTCTCCTATTATGGATTTTGTTGATTGCAGTACCAAAATTTCTCCTATTACTCCTTTAGTTGAATAAGGCCAAATGTATCTTTTGATTATATAAAGGTGCTTTTGGCAAAACCTGGAGTCTACATGCATCATCTTTTGGATTTTTACCATGGTGGTTTGACCCAAAATTGCCTCATCCCACCTTCATTTGTTGGCCTAGGGTGTTCTGCAAAGAGTGTCAGACAAAGTTGCAAAGTTTTCAGCTCTATGTCTTGCCATCATTGAAGCCATGTCTATGATCCCAGATTATCAAGGTTCTATTGGGTCTGCACCTGTTCATTCAGGCTGAGGTGAGGAGGGCACTTTCTAGGCTCAAGAGTACTGGTCAACTTATTTCTAGACCAAGTACTGTTGGACATTTGGCTCTAATAAGAGACATGAGAAAGAAAGACATCTTTTTGATAGATTCCAATAAAATGTTACATCGATTTATATTCAACAGATATTTTCTGGTCTCCTTTCCCACTTACCTTGGCCAACATAAGGATAGAGCACTTTTTATTTACAGGATATAATCAGGTATACAGATGGATCCAAAACTGATAGAAGTATAGATGCTGTCATTTGTAAAGGATGGTTTAATAAAGACTTCCTTCTCCCACTGCATAGGTTTCCCACTGTATTTCAAGCAGAGATGACAGCTATTATTTGGTGTGTTTGCATTATTTTATGTAAAGTCTTTTTAATAAGATTATCTACATTATTTCTGTCAATCAGGTTGTCCTAAAGAAACTTGACTCCTGTCAGGCTACTTCAGTACTTGAGATTGCTATTTGCATCACAATGAGCTGGCTACCCATAACAGAATATTCTCTTGTCAGGGGAATGATATGAGGATATCACTGGCAATGTAAGTGATGGTTTACTGGCCAAACAGGAAATTTCACATTCCTTTGTGGGTTACAACAAAAAAACACTTTTAAAAATCCAGCAATGAAATTTACTAAATAATAACATTTTCAATCAGCTTAACTGACCTTCTAATTGGGGGAGAGTTAATTAGTGTTAAATTTCTCTAGTTTCCATCAGGCCTAGCAGGAGGGGAAGTTAAATCTTACAGAGTGGCACAGAAGGGTTAGATTGAGTATGGGGAGGTAATCATTCTCCTAAAATTGTGTTTCTATATCTTTATTTTTAATTTAGAGCTAATAAATTTTCGCCATAATTATTTATATTAATTTTCAAGTCTTGTCCATTATTTTCCATTATAATGAAATGGACTCTAATGACTTTTTCTAATGGATCTCTCTTTTTTAATTGTTGATTGTTGCACCTGTTTAGTTTTACATAGCTTTGAACTTTCACCATTTAATTTTTCATTGTTATAATGATCGTCTTTATTTCAATTGTTGTAACATTTTTTCATTTATTTTAGCCTTTTCTCTTTACTTAATTGATAGTTTTTCCCCAGATTAACCATTCTTTTTTATGATGTTTTTACTATTTTAAGTGTTCAGGATTTATATTATTTTAATTTTTGTAACAGTTTTTTCTTTTACTTAATTTTTCTTATTGCTCATTTTAGTTTTATTAGTCAGCATTTATAGGTCTTTTACTATTTAGCAATTTTCTGTTAGTTTCATTGCTAGCTTAGTTTTCAGAGTAATTCCGATGTAGTTTCTGCTCTGCAGTAGAGGTGGGTTTTATTGTTTTCTTTTACCAACCAGCTCTTTCTTTTCTCCCTGCTACAGAGGATATGTTCTTGCAAATTTCTGTGGCAGATTTTCCTTGGCAAGTGGGCCATTTTACTGATAGACTAGTTTAAAATACACTCTACCTGGTTGGTAATTATACACTTACCCTATTTGATGGCCCTCACACATACTTCGCACATCATTAAATTAAGTGCAACAGAATTCAATATGGAAGATGACAATGCAGATTTGGGACAACCAGTGGTACAAGTTGAATCCCATCTTGAGTGATGCCATATTGTACATATTGTACCAAGTTGAACCCCATATTGTAATCATAAACTTTATAGCCAGAACTAAAAATGGATAGTCACTTAAAGTTCCAGCAAACTACTTACAAGTGATAGAAACAATTTATCACCTATAATGGTAATAATAGAAGAGAACCAGTTCTTACCAGAACCAAAAAACTGACAGTGCACCAAAGCCACACCAACCTACCTTCAGAGGTTAGAAACAATGTATCAACTGTATCAACAATAACAGCAACACCAGAACTAAGAAGGACAAACAACCAACAGGTAAAGAAAACTACAGCAGTAATGAGGAACACTTTTAGCGTCTCAAAATCCTCTACCAAGTTTAATAATTAATATATTTGTTTATAACAATTGTTTATAAGGCTTCCATTGTAAGGAAAAACCAGCCATTCACACTCAATGTTTTTTTTTTTTTAATTCTGTTTCTTTGTTTGTACTTGTAATTGCTGTTTTTAAAATTAACACAATGCGGGTGCTCATGGGCAAACCCCCTTCCTTCCATCCTTACTTCCC